GGATTTAAGTGTCTTAAATAAATAAATAAATAAATAAATAAATAAATAAATAAATAAATAAATAAGATATCATCATCGTGGGGAGGGGGGCAATGATAACTTCTTCAGTGGCTCAAGGGGGCGTTTCTTTCAAAAAGGTTAAGAACCACTGGGTTAAACCAAAGGGACCTATATGTAGTCCACTATTCTGACTAGCCAGTTGTCTATGAGAGGTTCCCAGGCAGATCATGAGCACAATAGCACTGTTCTGGATGTGTTCCCAAGCAAGTGGAGATCGAGAAGCATACTGTCTGCAGTACTGGAAGTACTGTACAGCCATTATAGCTAGTACAACCATAACTGATAGTCTTGCCTAATATCCTTATAAAGTCATGCAAGTTAGCTGCAATCTGGGTTTGAATTCTCACTCACCGTAGAAACTCACTAGGTGGGGCTTGTAGTGTTGAGAGTTCTGGGAACACTTAGGTTCCAGTAAAATGCACAGCGGAAGGCCAGCTCTTTAAGGTTAGATTTAGCTGTAGAAGTCCTCTTCTACCCAGTTGTTCTTGGTATCCATCCTCACCAAAGCTTAGCACAGTAGGAAATATGACTCAGGAGGCGATCTTTACAGTAAGTATGAAAGGTTTTGTCTAGTTTACTCACTTAAAGTCCATTTCTAAAACAGGCCCACGTTAGGCTTAAGGTTGATAGAAAGGAAAATAGTGAAAAAAATAAGGTTTGTTTCCTCAGCCCACGTGGCTGGGAGGATCTCTAGGGTGCAGAGATCCAGCTTGGAGATCTAGCATCTTCCAAGGTGAAAAAGGGTCTGAGACAAAATGGAGCGTGAGGAGGAGAAGGGAAGAAATAAGGGCAGAGTTTATCTAGCCCAAATAGCATGCAAACAAACAAGCAAACAAGTTAGTTTGTGACAGAGGCCCTTCCTCCCATATCTTGAAATTTACATCAAGGTTGCTAACGAGCCAACGGGTAGGTGGTACAAGCTTTGGGTCATTGAGGCACCATGTAAAAATCATTCTGGAATTATTATTTATTTTGTATTTATTTGCTGCACCTTTCTCCTAAAAAGCACCCGAGATGGCTTACATAATTAAAAACACAATATTAAAAGCTCAAAAGAGTAAATTACTAAAATATTTAAAAATAATTAATAACATTATTTTAATAAGACATTACAATGAAACAAGATTTTACATAGCACATACATGTAGCATTCTAAGCTACTTGTAATTGAAAGGTTGTGGTATCCAGAAAATTACAGTGGTTGTGGCTTCTGCAGTAACTGAACCAAACCCTTCCTCAAAACCAGAACTTGGAGCACAGTCGGTCTACAGTTCCTCGAATCCCCAAAATTAGCAGTGCTGGCTCAGGAATTCTTGGGGTCTTTTTTTAAAAAAAGTAACTCTTGCAGGCTTTGCACTCCATTGAGAATGATGTGCAAACTGTGTTTGAACCACACCTTGAAATCCTAGTGAGTTCTCTCGCTCAGGAGGTTCTTGAGATAAACCACTTTTCTGGCTATGCTGATGAGATCATATATTTTCTCCTTCCTTTCTTGCAGGGAATTGATCCGTCCTATACAAATGGTGTATATGGCACCCCATACTCAGCTCCTGGAACGAGGCCACCGTATCCCAATCTCCCACAATCAAACACATACTATTCCTCAGGGCATCCTCATGTCCCTTATTCCACAGAGTCTCCTAATGCATATAGATCTCCATCACCAGCTTCCAACTGGAATTACCCCCCAGTAGATTGTCCGGCTGAAGGTTGTATGGTGAGGAGACAAGTGCCAGGATATTCCCCTCAACAGGTAAGGCTCTAGTTTGGGCAGGTGGCATAATACCTGACAGTTGACTTGATCACTCACAACTTTGTACTTTCAGCATGATGTTGCTGATTGGTGATTCTTGGTTTAAATCTACCAACTATCAGTATTCATAGACAAAAGCCTTTTGTGACTTTTTCTTGTACAATTTTTCTTTTAAACTTCTGAAGATTTAGAATGTTTTCCAGATGTTTATTATATATTTTAATCTTTTTTGTACTCCTAAGGACTAGTCCTTCGCATTTATCATCAGGAGCTCTCTGGTCTGGACGCCACTTAATGTTTCAACTTTGCTAGTATGTTTGTATTGGATGAGTGATGAAAACCTCTCTCTGATTTCCTTACCCTCATAGACTCAAAGTTTTCCAGTTCCACCCTATCCATATGGCGATTGCAATCACAGCATTCCACAGCAGAGGCCACTACCACCCCCACAGCCAAGACTTCAAGATACAGCTTGGCGACCACCTGGTGTTTATGGAATACAGCCGCCCTATGCCTGGCCTCCTGCCCTTCCAGGACATGAGAATCGATATGTGTCAGAATCACCTTCACCTTGGCCTGCTGGTGGCATGCCTGCTCCACAGACTCCACATAGTAATGGAAAGGTACATTTTGGCAAATAGATGGGGAGCATTTGTTCTCAGCATGTCAATTTGTTTATCTCCTCTTCTATCTGACCTACTGTATAGGACTAGATTGCTTTTTTCAGTGAGAACCTTTCTGTATCAAATAATTATAACCTAGATACAAGAAATATGGAACAAAAGCATTAACTGAGATTCTTGTTCTTAAAAATTAAGCTCTAACCTAAAAAGGATGCAAAGAAGTAAGGTGCAGATAATTTTTTTTTTATCAGCACTGAGCAGAATTTTTATGTAGTAGAACAGGGGTCTCCTGGGGAAGGGCGGGAGCTTTGTTGTTTCCCCGCGGCGGATACGCTGAGAGAGAGCAAGCACACAGACGTATGTTAGGGCAGGGGACGAGCAGGAGACCAGTCGTGTTGCCAGACACCGTTAAGGAAGGCAGAGGTGGCATGGGAAAGGTCCTAGAGTCTGTGCCGTGCTGGATAAAAAGGCAAGGCGGGATGTGGCCCGTGGGCCACAGTTTGGAGACCCCTGCATTAGAACATGAGTGAAATAGAATATACCCTTTTGCTTTTCATGAATTGTTAGAAGTGTTCATATTTTTAACTTTGAAAAAAATTATATCTAAAAAAATCAGTTGTTTCAGTTATTTAATGGATTAATTTCTTGGTTTACTTGGGTGGAGCAGTATTTCTGTGGCAATATACATACTTTATTTGTAGAAGATTCAGAGATGCTGTAGCAGGCATCCTTTCAGAGAAGCTATTTGTCCTGTGTGAGAGAAGGAACAATATCGCAACATGTTGTGATTAGAGACGGGCATGACTGAAGTTGTGCTGCATTGTACGACTCATGCCATTCTCTCCAACCACTTCCCACCCAACTGCCCCACTCACAGGCCTCCATGCACTGCCCAGATACGCCTCTGTCACCGGATGCCTAGTCGAGGAAGAAGCTTGGGCTGCCCTTCCCTAACACCTTCAGCAGCGGATGACTTGGGGAAGGCGGTGGGACGGGGAGTCTCCCTGTGCAGTTGTTGAGAGGTTGGCTGAGCAGCCAGCAACAAAGGACAGCCTGGGTGGTGCATGGAGGCTTGTGAGTGGGGCAGCCAGCTGGGTGGGGAGTAGTCTGAGGGAATGTGTGGCATTGTGGCGATGCACAGTATGAGTCGTATGATGCAGCACGACTTAAGTCATGCCCATCTCTAATTGTGATGTGAAGTTTTAATAACTTTGTATTTGGGCAGGTTTTCAAAACCTGATAAATGGTATAAAATAGAGATGGCGGTATTTATACTGTATACAAATACCATGTTTTCCTGAAAATAACACAGGGTCTTATATTAATTTTTGCTCCAAAAACCCAATATTTTCAGGGGATGTTTTATTTTTTTTTTCATGTACAACAATCTATATTTATTCAAATACAGTCATGTCATCTTCTGGTTGCTGCAAAGTGGTGGAGGGTGGGCTTTCACTTAACTAGGGCTTACTTTTGGGGTAGGACTTACATTACGAGCATCCTGAAAAATTATACTAGGGCTTATTTTCAGGTTAGGTCTTATTTTTAGGGAAGCAATACGAGTACCCCCACATAGCTGAACATAACGGGGGACCATCCACTCATGTATCCCCCGCCACTACCGGCTCTGCACTCCCTTCCAATCAGTCCGGAGTTCCCAGTCGGCTATCCACTCGTCAGCCTGGCAGGGAGACTTGTCTTCCCTCCTTCTGCCAGGAGTGGATAGCTGACCGGGAGCTCCAGAGCAATTGGAAGGAAGAGCGGAGCTGGCAGCGGACGCGTGAGTGGACGGTCGTTACATCCAGGGGTATTTGTATACGAATATGAATACCCCCATCTCTAGTATAAATCTGGGTCTCCAGCCCATATTTTCAGTATTTCTTGAAGCTAGTGTTGTTGCCCATTTGGTTCTGGTTGCAGCTGGACCCCCCTGGGCCTTGCCCAGCACTGGTGGAAAATTAGAGGAAGTGTTGTTTCTAGTGTTCAAAAGCTACTGACAATGAATTTACTATTTCTAAAAGGTGTTTGGGAAAGACACTAGAAAAATCCTCAGATTTCTTTGGTTCAAGAAAAGCTATTAAATTGGTTGTATATTGCAGAAGTGGATAAATGAGGAAATCTCTCCCATAGGAAAAAAAGGCATACCGCAAACATTTACTTTCCTAGATGAAGGGAGTGATTTCATTATATTTGGGAATTTAGAAACTCTCAAATTTATTGCTTAATGAAGATTTGTGGAAAAACACTTTTAAAATAATAATGGAACTTTTTTAAAAAGTGCTAAATTAATAGGGGATCAGTTTCCCTAGATTAAAATGGGACATTTAGCATCCTGAACTAACCATCATTGGTTGCTGTTCTATTTATAAATGAGTGTTTCATATCCATTACGTGAAACATAGTATTGCACATTGCAAGATTGTAGCATAATTTGCTCAAAAAGAGCACAGGAGGAAAACAGTTGGTATCTGTGCTGTTCAGTTTTCAGTACAGTACTCTTGGTTTGCTTTCAGTAAAGCAAAGTAGTGTTGATGGGTTATGTCTAGTAAAATTTCTTGCCTGTGTGCCTTTTAAACTTGCAATCCCCAGGCAATGATTTTGCTGTGATTCTACCTCTGAGTCTATAACTTTAAATGCCTACTGATGTCTTCTGGAGTTCCTGCCTCAACCATTTAGGAAGGTCTGTACTTGCATCCTCTTGTGTTCTGTGTTGTTGTGGGGGATGCAGTTATGTTCCATGTCACCATTTCCTGAGCAATTTATACCCCATTTCTTTTTACTGGCCAAAGAGCTCTCTTGAATACTAGATAGTCTTTATACTTTTTCTGGTCAGGCCTGTTCTGCTTCTGTAGATGTGATTAGCACAGATGCTTCTACTTTTCTTCAAACCCTATGTAACAATATTGGTTTAAGTAGCACACTTTTGTGTATAGCAGAAAGAGAATTTAATGCACCAGGCGTCTAGTATTCTTTTTGTGGAACTGCTTGTAGGTTAACAGAACCCATGCAGAAGGTCACAAGGGATTCAGGTTACTGGGTTATGGCACATTGTGATGTCATTCTGACAGAGTTGAAAGTGCAGGTCCTGGTTTTCAATGGCTGGGCCTTTTTGCATTGACATCTCGAGCATGCCCCCCTTACTAATGAGCAGAGAGCCAGTCTGGTGGTACTGGCTGTGTAAGGATTTGCTTTCGCAACAACTTCAGTGCAAGATGGGGAATTATGGAGTTGATAGAGTTGGACACCACACTGAAATTTCTTTTCTGCTTTAGGAGTCTTATAACCAGCTGGAACAAGGAGCTAACCACAGCTGCTATCCTGAAGTCAGCCACTTGCCTTCTGGGACCATGAATGACTACAAACCAGCCCTGCTTGACCCAAAGCCATCTGTTTCCAACCCCAAAGTACAGTATAGTGCACAACCCCAGCTGTATGATAATGTACATAGGAAACAATCAACAATTTATCATGGACAAGGTTCTAACCCCAGCATGCAGCCTTCACTAGAGACATCAGCTGTGGATCCAGGAATACAAAAGGTTATGCAAGTTATGGAGGGGGTTGAACAGCTGGAGGAAGAAGTGGATGAATTTGTAGGGAAAAAGACAGACAAGGACTATTGGTTGCTAGAGGAAATGCTAACCAAAAAATTGTTGGACCTGGACTCTATAGAGACTGGTGGTCAGGACAATGTACGCCAGGCAAGAAAAGAGGCTGTTCACAGAATCCAAGCAACCCTGGAAGAACTGGAAAGGAAGGGGCTTTAATGTGACTAGCAGTCCAGGAATGGCCAAAAATCTTTCTTTTGACCATCCAAAGCAATAAGTGAGAATTTGCATTTGATTTTAAAATAAGTCATGGTGAGTTCAGAGTGACTAAATGAAGACATAAGACCCAAAGTCTTGCTTTGTTGGTCTGCAAGTGAATGTAAAAGGCTGGATGATATTCAGACCCTGATGACTTGAAGGTTTTTCTGTATTATCCTGTGTGGACATCTGCATGTTCTTCTAGCAGCAGGAGGAAAATTGTTGGGTAAAAGAACATTGAGATAGCTGAATTTGCATCTCTAAAGAGATCTTTTGGAACACAAAGGACTTAGAAGAATGCAAAGACATTTCAGTTGCAACACAGCTTCAGTTAAGACTTCACCCTTTTTAGTGATTCCTGTGTATTACAGCTTCCCTCCTTGTCATAGAAATGGTGTGATATTTTGTATCATTAAGTACATTTTGTTCAAATGCAGCCATACTGATAAGCCAGTCAGTAGGGTAACCAAAGCCAGTATATCACTTATACTAGTCCTCCCCACTTACCGTGCAGGTGTAATCCACAGTACTTTTTGTGGATAAGTAGGAGAAACCCAGATGATGCTTTAACTGTTGCTACTTGCAAGTAACAGATTGTGGTATTTCTGGGCAGAGGGACAAATGCACTTAATTGTGATGTCACTTCATACATTAACGTTAATATGTATTCCTCTTTAATCTGTGTGGTGCTTCTGTACAATCAGCTGTGCTGTTTGTAAGGGGACAAATAAGGTGATCATGAATCTTCAGCTCTTGCCAAACTGGCCCTTGTTCCATAAGGCAAGAAAATAGAACTTTGCGAGTTTTAAAATGTGCACATTACAAGACTTTGCAGATAAGAACAGCATTGGTGTATATGATTGCTAAAAATAATAAATTGGGTATTAAAGTGTCTTGAATGATTAATGTTATATGGTATATAGCAGATGGGTGTATATAATTATAATGACACAAGGAACAACACCTTAGATACTTTACAATTCCTAGTTTTCTGTGGTCTGATGCTTAAGGCACTTTAGCAAGAAAACTCTTATATCTGTTCTTGAATTTGTGCAGTCCTCCATAGGCCTAGTTAAAATGGTAGTTGTTATGTCAAAAGGCAATGAATTCACAAAGTCAAATGATCTGATTTAGATTTTTTTTTTTTGGTATCTGATATTTAAAAGTTTTGTGTGACACTTCTCTGCTGTAAATGATAATCACAGTGGCCTGTCAGCAATTTATACAAACATAATAAAAGTAGAACACAAGTACCTTATCAAGGTTATAGAATATTTGTAAAATGCAGCATCCCAACAGTACTGAACTCATAGCTCAGTGGTTTGGATATCTGGTTGTGGAGCCAGAGGTTGGAAGTTTGATTCCCCTCTGCCTTGACAGCAGCTGGACTCCATGATCCTCTGCCTTGACAGCAGCTGGACTCCATGGTTCATAGGGTCCATTCCACCTCTGTAGTTGTAAGTTAAGATATACTGAAATATATTAAGTATGCTGTAGGGTCCATTCCAGCTCTGTAGTTCTAAGTTAAGATATACTGAGATATATTAAGTATGCTAAAATGGTACCTGTTGTAATGTCAGTCTGGTGTCAGGGCTAGTCTTGGGCTTGAATCAAGGAAAATGAACTTCCAATTCCGTGCTTAGCCATAGACTGCACTGGATGATCTTGGGCTCAGTACTTATTTTCTGCCAGGCCAACTTCACAGGGCTTGCATGCAGGGAGAGAAGCATAACTATCTTAAGAAAGTTAAAGCAATTTGAAAGGGCTCACTTAATTCTCTACCACTTTTCTGTTATCACTTTCAAGTATTTAAAATATTAGTAATGAAAGATAACTGACCAACTGGATAATGAAGATGTGCTCTGCAAGAATTTACATTAAACTGATTTCTTTAAAGATTTCAGTTAACACAACTTGATCAAAATTAAGTCAGAATTTAACTGTAGGATTTTAAATGCTTGGGTTGTTATATGACTGTTAAACTTGCACTGATTTGTACAAACTGCAACATTAATTTAGTGGGTTCCTAACATCATTTTAGGAAAGCTAAACCTATATAATAGGCAGTAGGTTGTATAAATGTTTGTTTGGGCAGCGTATCTCACTTGTTTAGTATATTGCTGCAATGTTTAATTTTCATTTCAAATAGTAAGTGTATTGTCATCTAGTGAGGATATGCAACTAACGTATGTCACAGTTGTGATAAGACATCCATGATTCGGTTGTTGAATACTGTACCAGCTGCAGAATGACCCACTTGATGGCATCCCTTGTTAAATGTGCTAGTAGAGCACAGTGAAGAAAAAAATCAATTTTTAAAAACGCCTTTAAAATCAGATTTTAAAATTTAAATAGACTGGATAATCCTATTTTCTAACTGCTTGAAATTATTTGTGGAGTTCCCCCCCCCCCGACATAATACAATGATGAAAATTCTTGGAAGCATGATTATAAAATATCCAGGATTAAACACAATTTGAAAGAAATAAAGATTGAATCAGGATTGTGTAAATTGCGTAACGAGCCTTTAAAATCAGATTTTAAAATTTAAATAGACTGGATAATCCTATTTTCTAACTGCTTGAAATTATTTGTGGAGTTCCCCCCCCCCCGACATAATACAATGATGAAAATTCTTGGAAGCATGATTATAAAATATCCAGGATTAAACACAATTTGAAAGAAATACAGATTGAATCAGGATTGTGTAAATTGCATAACGAAATTTATAAGGTGATGTGTGAAGAATTGTTTCATGTCTGTGCCAGGGCCCCCATTGAGAATGGCTAGTCTTAAGTGATGCTCATCCTTAAGTGCTGCCTCTAACATTCTAAAGACAAGTCAAATTGTTACCTCCTTGGCATGGATAATGTAGATCTGTATTTAATCCTGTAATTCCACTCCAATAACAGCACCCATGCTTGTTACAACTTTAAGAGATACCTATTTGTCAGTACATATTTTTTAACAATCTCCTTGCTTGTATTGTTTTTACTTCCAATAATCTTTGTTCATTAGCACTTCCAGTGGTTGACAGCACACTTTCAGACACAGGAAGAATCAGTAAACAATATATGTATATATTAAGGTTGCAGCAAGCAAGAGAGCATTTATAGAGTTGAAACCACATGATTAAATCAAGATTTTTTTGAGTAAATCAGTTTGGCTTAAATCTAGGTAGGCAGAGATGCTTGCATTTTTTCAAACGTATTGGGGTACTCATAGATTTTGTACTGTAAAGGATATCCATCTGGAAGTATGCATTTATTTACATTTTTATCATGCCCAATTAATGCCCAATTAATGGCAGAGCCCCTACTCTGGGCAGTTAACTGAATGAGATGAAATAACATAATAATAAAAACACCAATAGAAATACAGGAAGAATCAGTAAACAATATATGTATATATTAAGGTTGCAGCAAGCAAGAGAGCATTTATTGAGTTGAAACCACATGATTAAATCAAGATTTTTTTGAGTAGTGATTTAAATCAGTTTGGCTTAAATCTAGGTAGGCAGAGATGCTTGCATTTTTTCAAACGTATTGGGGTACTCATAGATTTTGTACTGTAAAGGATATCCATCTGGAAGTATGCATTTATTTACATTTTTATCATGCCCAATTAATGCCCAATTAATGGCAGAGCCCCTACTCTGGGCAGTTAACTGAATGAGATGAAATAACATAATAATAAAAACACCAATAGAAATACAGGAAGAATCAGTAAACAATATATGTATATATTAAGGCTGCAGCAAGCAAGAGAGCATTTATTGAGTTGAAACCACATGATTAAATCAAGATTTTTTTGAGTAGTGATTTAAATCAGTTTGGCTTAAATCTAGGTAGGCAGAGATGCTTGCATTTTTTCAAACGTATTGGGGTACTCATAGATTTTGTACTGTAAAGGATATCCATCTGGAAGTATGCATTTATTTACATTTTTATCATGCCCAATTAATGCCCAATTAATGGCAGAGCCCCTACTCTGGGCAGTTAATTGAATGAGATGAAATAACATAATAAAACGCCAGTAGAAATAAAGGTAAGACATCATACACAAGTCCTTTGCAATGTGATAAATCTGAGAATAAGGACACAAGTCCTTTGCAATGTGATAAATCTGAGAATAAATAAGAAAAGACTGCACAGGCATTGTAAGTACAAAGGAGGCAGAACAGCCTAGAATATGAATGTCAGAAGCTTAGATTATACCAGAACAGTGAGTGGTTGACCAATGAAAGACACCAAGAGAAACTAGACTATGCAGTTCATTAAATATGAACAACAAACATGGCCACGTGTAAATAAATAGCATACATCCAGAACAGTGAGTGGTTGACCAATGAAAGACACCAAGAGAAACTAGACTATGCAGTTCATTAATATGAACAACAAACATGTGTAAATAAATAGCATACATTCCTACTTCCCAACAGGAGAGGCACGAAATAGTTGTCTTTTCAGACAAGAATGGAACAGGTTCAAACAGTCATGCATTAAGTTAAAACAGCTATGATGGTAAGCTTGCTTGAGCATGTCTGGGAGCAGACTTTCAAGCTAGAGTACACATGTAAAATTGTATCCTGGAGAATTAAGGACTACTGAAAAGACTCAGCACTAGAAGATTACTGCAGATAAGTGAATCCATATTTAATATTTTAAAAATATGGCATTTCTGTGTTCTAGAAAAGTATGCTTCTCTTTTGGACTTTTGCATTAGAGGTAGGCTAATCCCTCTGCCAGCCATTGGATTAGTCTTCTGTGCCAGAGCAGTTTGTCAATTTCATTATGCTGTCAAACAGGATGCTGCACCTTCTACTCAGTATTAAATATCACCAGAGAAGTAGGTGTAAGACTACAGCCTAAGGATGTGAATTCTGAAGTCCTTGAAATCAAAGCCTCTCATCTACACCACTACTTCATGGCATTTGGGAATGTTTCTTAATCTTAGAGCCTTATGTGATCACAGTTGTTTCTCAATGTATCTTGATGCTTTGCAAAATCTGATACACTTTTGCAAGCAATGAGACTATTTGATGAGGGTGTGATGAATTTTCTTTTCTTGGCAGGGTCAACATTTGCTGCTAGCACTAATTCCCTGAATCTTAGCTTTCATCATCATAATCAGTAGTAATACTATTAAGCTATTGAGTGCTATGAACAGCCTTCCGTCTCAACCACAGTTGCTCATGTAGTTTTAACTGTTTCATCTATCTTTAAGTTCCAGTTTTAAAAAACCATAACCCGAAGCTAGCTTACAAAGGAAAAACCCAAACAATAAGACTTACTTGCACAGTATTTAAAATGCCTCAGTGTGAGCATACAGCAGCCAGCAAAACAGTGCAATCATAAAAAGGCTGATCTATCCCTACCCCCTTTTAATGATGGTCAGAAAATGGGGCTTCTGATACCGTTTTCTGGGCTTTGGTAGATTCACTCGGCACAGGCTAACAAGGCCTATCTGGTCCCATGAATATGCTTTTTTTGCTTATTGTATCACTTAGAAAGATCAAACACTTCTTTGACTTTTATATAATAAGACAATGGATGACTGGAGAGTGAATCAATTCAACATTAAAGAACAGGTCCTTTCAGCATTTATGAGTGGGATCCATTCAGTTTAAAAGGCTCACTCACACCTTCCAAGCCAACTGCAGAGCCATTTTTAGCATTCCCTGTGCTCTCAATTCGACATAAACTGCAGTGTGCAGTCACAGAAGAGAACCTCAGGCAGTGGTATGAAATTAAGACTGCCACAAACATGGTCCTATTTCAGTTTGTGAAAAAAAGTGTATGAATTCTATGCCTGCAGAAGACTGGAAATCTTTGGCCATGCAAATGTTTTGAATTAAAATTCCAGCGAGGGGACAGAGAAACAGGTGGCATGTTTCTTTGATGGGTCAAGTGAACAGAGGTGTATGGTAGACATTTCCTGAAAAGAGAAAATGCCTTTTTAGTTATTGCTGTTTATATAGTATACTGTACATCTCTATTGCCACACAGCTCGTACTCTTCAAAGGCTGCACAAATAGATTACAAAGTTAGACATGATAGAGTGGCAAAGTTAGTACACTGATTATAATGCAAAAAATATAACTTGCCAGCCTCCAAAAACCCATAAGAATATCAGGTAGAGAAGTCAGAAAATGAGGAAGTCATGATCTTGTGGGATTTCTGGATCCAAATGGATAGACACCATGAACATAACACACCAGACATGGTAGTAACAGAATGAAGAAATGTCTGGATCATTGACACTGAGGTTCCAGGGGATGCCAGAGTTGAAAATAAAGAACTGGAAAAACTAACAAAATACTGTATAGAGACCTGGGAAACGAAACATCTCGCCTTTGGAAGAAACACACTTCAGTGGTCCCCATAGTCATTGAGGCTTTGGGGAAAATATCAGGAAACTTAACATAATACTATGAGCAGTTGCAGATCTCAGAAATAACATCAGAGCTACAAAAAATGGCAATATTAGGACAGCATACATACTGCGCCAATATTAAACAGGTACTTAGGTTTTTGAACTTGTATCGTATCTGTTATATAATACCAATCAATGTTTTATAATGTTGACTCTGCCTGGTGTTTCTGAACAACAACAAAAACAACAACAACAACAATAATAATAATAATACACTGCAGAACTGGAAGAGACCCTATGAATCACTGAATCCACTTCCTGTCAAGAAGGTGCAGTGAGGAACTGAACTCCCAACCATTTTTGGGGAGAAATTCTTTACACATAATCTGTGGGTCTTGATGTCTCTCCTGATTTTGAAAGTTTTATTGTTCTGTTTGCATGAGCTTTTGTGGACCCAGAGTACTTCTTCAAATACATGAAGCACAGTTTTCAGGCTATGGGTTTATATGCCATTTGATTTTGGGCCAGAATAAAATATGATGCAGAAATGGACACTTTCATTCACCACAGTCATAAGGTGTTGAATTTTACTCTGAACAGCCCCTAGGCTGGGCACAAAAGAGGTGGAGTGGTTTAAACATATGATTCATCTGTTCAATGGTATATAAATTATCTTGTGTAGTTTGCAGTAACTGTCTAGTCAAATGATCGTCTCTACAGACATTATTAGAAGAGCCCCTTCATAACCAGTTAAAAATGATTAAATTTCAGAAGCATGCAACTCACAGACACCATTCTAAGAATGGAGAGCAGCAGGAATGCTAAAAAAAAATCTGCCTTTTGGTTTAGAAGCTGTCGGACTTTTAAAATGAATGAATGTCACAGATTCACTCTTGGCACTAAGTGGCACAATTTGTGCAGTAGAATGCTGATGATAACACTGACTGACAGTGTAGTCAAAGGGGATGAAATTCATGCATTGTTTACAGCTCTTCTAAAACCTCGTAAACAAGCCTTTTGGGTTAGAAGAATTCATCAAATTTAGGCATGGTGGACTTTATAGTGAGTGAAGAAGACATGCCTATTTATCCCCAGACTCCACATTAGAAAATAATGAAACATCTATCTGTAAGTGCTGTTATGTAAAAAGCCTCCAGCTGAGCAACTTCACAGTTCTCTTTGGCAGTTTGTCCTAGAACCGTAAGATCCACAAAGCAGACACCGAGGGAAAAGAATACACACGTAGAATTCAAGTGAGTACATTTTAAACCTACGCATTTGCTTTCATGACCAGACATGAACTATCTACTAATCCTTTTCTGGTTATTAACAGCTTAACTCATTTCAAAAGCTCCAGTTTAGATTAGAAAAAGCTGTTTTGATTATGACTTCTGAAGACTTTCATACTCTCCTTGGATATTTTCATTGGTCCTGCTCAATTTGTTTTCTGTTAACTTAATATAATTGTTTAGTTTTATCTTGTATTTGTTTTAGAAGATCTCAAAGCCCAATTGGAATGGCACAACAGAGAAGCTCTTATTTAGTGCTGTGAGCTCATGACCCAGCTATTGTAAAAAGTGTAATTATCATCATTATAGCCTATTCATAGTTCCTAAAGAGCAGCAGCACCAGACACGCAGCCTAGGAGTAATACAGCAGTAACAACTGTGCATTAATTATTTATGTACAATTAAGGTATTTTGACATTCTGCCGCTAAGTATAAACAGGAAATTGTACTAGCACCATGCTGGAGGATTTATAATTTAACTTTCTATCCTGCCTATGATCAAAGATTCTCAAGGCATCTAATACAATATTTAAAATGCAATAATATTGAAGAATATTGTGTCTCGCAATTTGTCTTGGCACAACTTACTCCTTGTTAAGGAGATAAGATTTCTTTTTCTAAAAATTCAGTTTTTCAAAAAATACACACAGGCTGAAATCCTGTTGCTTTGTTACATATGCGGAAGGCAAATCATGTAACATTTAAGACCCTCTAGTAGGCAATTAATGAATTTCTGTTGGGAATATCAAGCTCATGCCAAGCACACCACATATAATTATAAAAGCTAATTGCACAAATTGTTGACCCTTTCAATTTTGTGTCCTTGATTTGTTTTGTCGTATATTGTACTGCTGTTGGCTCATTTTATTTTGTGGAACAACCACTGCACACTTGCCTGTCTTCTCCTGCTACCTATGTAGGCCAGGCACAGGAGAAAACACAGGAGCAGATAACAGTGATATTGCCAAACTGTTTTAGACTTTGGACTTAATGGTCCTCCCCTTATTTACTTCACTTAAGCTAGCCCTGCTGTGGACAGGGACCCGCCATCTCATTCTGTTTAATGTAGTCTGAGATGCCTGTTCCAAGGTCTTGATGGGACTACACACTGGACGTATCATGCTGTAGCAGCCTGTTTTCAGCAATCTTCGCCCTTTGATCCTACAAGTCTATAACTGATCTTATTTGTAGGACTTTGAGCTGTGATAGGAAAAAAAGAACCTACTTGTAGGAGTATTGCTCTTGTACAATTTCCTCATACATAGTTAAGACAGGAACAGATTAGCATTCAGCACAAAACGCTTCTTTCAAAAATGGGCTTCAGGAATTAGGAAAACACACAACCCATTGTGCAAAGCTCTTAGTCAACAGTGTGAAATATGTGAAGGGTCAGCACTGAGATAAACAGGCCTGACTGAATAAAAATTATTACTTTTTATTTTTAAGGTTCTGGTTGCTCCAGTGGGTGTCCCAACAGACATCCGACAGCAATTCTGTTTCTCTTTTAGGAACAAGAGAAATGAATAGTTCTATTTGCCACCTGTCTCTCTTTCTCTCTGCTGCCCAATGCTTCATGTTTCGTAGATGCCGCTGCCCACTATGCTTTTATTTTATTCACTTACAAATGTTCCTTATCCCATATTTTGAATCTCAAAAAGACCCTAAGGTGGCTTCTGCCATTAAGGATGTACAATTAAAAATGTAAGACATAGAGGAACACAGCTTTCAAGGCTCTAAGATTTTCTGGAAACTTGTAATCTCAATATTTTCAACTCTTGAGCCACAATCTTTCCATTTCCTTTTAAAAGATGGATCTTCTAGTGGTCTTAAGTTTCTCCCCTAAGTTTCAAAACCTTACTTTATCCTGTATTAAAAAGCCATTTTGCAGTAAGCGTTATCTCCATCTTTTTCTGCTCCATATCACCACTTTACTTGTTACAGTTGTACACCTCCACGTTTCCTCGAATGGGCTCCAAACAGTATCTGCAGCTCTTCCTCCCTTATCCTCACAATGAGTCTGTGAGGTATGTCAGTGGCTAAGAGTAACCGGCCCAAGTAGATTTCAGAACTCGGTGAAGATTGAATAGGATCCTCTGAAGTTCTAGTTTACCCTTCTAACAATATTGGTGCTCTATCTTGAAAGCTATCCCACACTTATTTATGTTTGGCACTTTTCCCAGATGGGTCCTTTCGAACTCCATTTACATCCCCCCCTCTAATTTTTGAAATCACCTCTTTGAAGTCTGCTTCTTCTTCAAATCAAAGGCCATGCTTAAGAAGCAAGATAGGTGGAATGGTAATGAGTCAGGATGGAAACACTCTGTGTCCAGTCTCTTTATTATTGTGTGGAGGAGTCTAAAAAAAGTCTCCTCTTCCAGCTGATGAGTAAAATTTGGCGTCTGCAGCCAATTGGCATGACGATCACTGCTGTTTTACCATGGCTCATTCAGGATTTTGGTGAAAGGGTCCCCTTTTCAGACAAAAGAACAAACCGTCTTAAATGGAAAGCAGAAGCTGTTGATTCTTGTTCTCCTCGTACATATGCTGGGGTGGGGAGGCACACAAATCCAAGGCGTGGAATAGCATTTTTGTTCTTATTCTGGCCGGGACTGATAGGAGATAATCCAAAACATGTGGAGTAAAGAAGGTTCCCCACCCACCCTCCAAAGATGGATAAAAAGAGATGGTAGGCCCCACTCTATGCCCAAATTGCAGCCAGGAGAGTCAATGCTATGATTAAAAAATGCATTAACCCCACATATTCCCACCACAACTGGGGGTTAGCAATGCATAGAGCCTATCAGAAGCCTATGGGACTACCTATCCCATGAAGCCTCGGCTAGGTTAGCCAAAGGGCATGGCGACCTGAACCAACGTGCTTCTTCTTGAGCAGCTCTATGGGAGAAGGATGGCTCTCCGGACAAAAAGAGGCCTGCTAAGATTTCCTCTTCCACACAAGGAACGGTCAAAGGGGCAGGGAAGGACGACCTTGCCTGCCCCTGATGGGACTTGTTGTCCTACACTGCGCCCACTCCTGCCCCCATAAAACGAAGGAGGGGAGCCTGGGCGCGGGGTCTCCTCTCCGTTGCCCCCCCACCCCATTCCCCGAGCCCGCCGTCAGGGCCGAGGCCGCCGAGGCCGCCTTCCTCCTGAGGCGATTCTTCGCCCTC